CCCTACACACACACAGACAAGAGCCTGTGTCCCCAAAGCATCCAGCAGAGGGAGCCTCTGACACACTCAGCAGAGGAACGAGCCTTAAGTGAGGCACCAGGTGTATAAAGACTCACACGCAGGTGGAGGTGAGTCCTGGGCCCCACGGACCTCATGCCTGCCCTCCTCCCTCGTTCATCCACCAAGACCCTTCGTGAAAAGTCAACGTGCATGACAAACCTGACGAATCTATAAAACCCACAGGAGAACCGAGGAGCAGAGGGGCAGTCACGCGCCAGGGCCACCGCTAGTAAGGAGCAGAGCCTGGGTTTGAACCCATATAAGTCGCATCCCAAGATCAAGTTATTTCTGCTGGCACATGACGGGGTTGCTCCGAGGCGTGGGTGGTGGGAGTGGGATGAGGGAGGCTGGTGCAATGTTTGGGGAATAATGAGCGCTCGGAGACCCTCCCTCGGGATGGGGGTGTGAGAGAGGCGGTGGGTGGCTCCGGCAGGGCCTGGGACTGCATGTTTCCCACTCAGTCTACCTCGGAAAGGGCATTCCGGCCGACGATCCCAGCACACACCACCAGGGGGCGCTCCAGGATCAACAGCCCAGCTTTGACTCATCTCCAGATCCCCCACCCCGCGCCATCTCGGCTGATGCCCCTGAGCAGGACAAGGAGGCCCAAGGAATAGGGTGGAAAAGGACTCAGGGCCCCCCTCTGAGGTCCCCAAGGATATCGTTGTTGGATCCTAGTTTAGTCATTTCACTCTGGGGAACTCAATATCCATCTCAGGATAACAGTACCTGAGAATTAAATGAGATTATTAAATGGAAAGGACACACAAGAAGTACTCAATTTCATTATTGTTGCCCTGGCCGGTTTGGCTCGGTGGATAGAACGTCGGCCTGCGGACTGAAGGGTCCCAGGTTCGATTCCGGCCAAGGGCACATGCCTGGGTTGTGGGCTCGATCCCCAGTGGGGGTGTGCAGGAGGCAGCCGATCAATGATTCTCTCTCATCATTGATGTTTCTATCTCTCTCTCCTTCTCCCTTTCTCTCTGAAATCAATAAAGAAATACATTTAAAAATAAAAATAAAAATCATTATTGTTATATTAACTTCGGAGACCCCCCTGGGCTTCATCCTCCTTCATGAACACACACACACACACACATACACACACCCTAGTATCTCAGTCTTCGGGCTTTAAACACCATCTGAATCCTGAGGCTTCCCAAATGTCTGTCCTAGCCCAGAACTCTCTCCCAAATATGAGGCCCATCTGTCCAAGTGCCAGCTTGACGGTCCAACTGCTCCTGGTCCAAACGGACATGCTAATCTCACCCCCCAAAACAACTTGCTTCATTCAGCATTCCCCATCTCCGTTGATGGCACTCCAATCTTTCCAGGTGCTCAAACCTGGAAACCTGGGGACCTGCCCTTCTCATGAATCCCACACTCCATCCATTGGCAAACCTGCCAGGACTATCTTCATGAAACAATCATTCCTCATCAGAGTCCAACTGCCCCTCTTCACCTGTACAAGCCCCGTTTAGGTTTTAGCTACAGTCATCTCTCACCTGGACTGATGTAGTCACCCCCTCCTCACCTTCTAGTTCTATCCTTGCCTTCTGTAGTCTCTATTCAACATAGCAGCCAACGACTGTACGACAAATCTTATCCCTCCTCTGCTCAGAACCCCCTATGGCCCCCTATCTTTCTCACAATAAAATCAGTGACTTTAAGGCCCTGTGTAAATTTACTTATTTGTTTGCTTTTTAATCACTTGTTATCTGCTCCCCTTTCTAGAAAGTCAGTTACACGAGAGCTCAAACACTGGTCACAGTAGATGTTCAATTTGATGAATTCATATGATTATTGTAGACCCTGTCATTGCCCCGACTTCTATATCACCACATCAGGGACTATTCCATCACTTAGTTCCCCCAGCCAAAGACTTGAGAATCACCCTAACCTTCTCCTCCGCTTATACCCCCCCACTTCCTGTCCCACCTGGACCTCAGCCACCCTTTCCCCTGGGTTTTCAGCCCCCTGTACTCCCTTTCAAGCCACCTCCCTGCCAGCCCAGGCTTGATCATGATGTGTCCTGTTCCTGCTCACACACCCCCCTGTAGCTCCCTATTGCCCTCAGCATAAGGGCTGAACTGTGACATAGCCCACAGTTCCTACACTATTGGCCCCTCCCCACCCTTCCTCCTTTCTACCCTACTACCCAGGTCCAGCCACTCTGGCCCCTTGTGAGTTCCTAGAGCACACCATGCTCTCCCTCATCTGCATACATTTGCAGATGGTATTCCTCTGCCTGGAATGCTCTTCTCTCCCTTGTCACCAAATTCTACTCCCACTTCAGCACCAGAGAAGCTCTCCCTGAGCCACCCCCACCAAATGTTATGCTCACCCAGCACCAAGGTCTCTTCCTTGGAGCACTTGTCACAAGTTTAAGTAAATATTTATATGTAGAATTATTTGCTCAACATTTGTCAACCCTGTCCTCTTGAGGGCAGGAATCAGGCCAGCTGTGCTCCTGGCCCAGTGCTAGCAGACACTTCATTAATAATGCAGTCTGTTGATGAAATAAATGAATACACAAACTGTCCCAAAAAGTCTCAGTTTATGTCCAAGGACAAATGATTTTCCAGCCTCCTAGCTCACAGCTTCCCTCGGCTGCTTCCCAACTGTCCAAGGTCCCTCATTTCCTTGCTGGGCTCTGGATGTCAGGGTCGGGTCAGATTCTAGCCCTGCGGTTCTCAACCTGTGGGTCGCAACCCCTTTGGGGGTCGAACGACCCTTTCACAGGGGTTACCTAAGTACATCCTGCATATCACATATTTACATTACGATTCATAACAGTAGCAAAATTACAGTTATGAAGTAGCAACGAAAATAATTTTATGGTTGGAGGTCACCACAACATGAGGAACTGTATTAAAGGTTCGCGGCATCAGGAAGGTTGAGAACCACTGCTCTAGCCGCTAGACTAGCCGCTAGAGGGTGGATGATGGTGGATGTCTGTATCCCTTGCTTTTATTCTACAAATATCAACACCCTTAGCAAAGGGCCTTTGAGTAAGGGAGGAAGGAAGGGGCTTGGAAGGAGGGTTCGAGTTTACAAAACAAGAAAAGCAAACAGCAGGGCCACAGGAGGTAGCCTGATGCCTGAGAAGTTCGCCCATCCGAGCTGGGGGCTTCAGGAAGGCGATATCCAGGTTCAAGGCTCTGACCTCGGGCTCCAGCTCCCAAGTCCTCCATTTAGAAGCCCGTCAGATCCGCGTGGGGCAGGGCTTGAATCCAGGACGCTTTAGATGTCTGGCCTTAGGGTCTTAGAAGGCTCCGCGGGAGAGGCCTGAAGACCTGAAGCCGCAGGATGCTGGGGGCGGGGTCTGGGCCCAAGGGGTGTGGCCTAGCCTGGCCCTCAAACCAGAGGACAGCACTCGGTGGGTGGGTCCTGGAACTCAAGGGGCGTGGCCTCGCCTTGAGGGGCGTGGCTTGCACCTACCCGCTGCTCAGTGGAGGACCCTGATCCCCCTGAGCGGAGCCTGAACTTCGAGGGGCGTGGCCTATGTCCACAGGACTTAGGGGCGTGGTCTGGTCCCTCGAGGGCGGGGCTTCGGCCTCTAGGCGGGGCTTAGGCCCCGGGCTCCGCAGGGGCGCACCGGCTCTCAGGCTCAGGCCCGCGGAGGGAGGGGCTCTACGTTGAGCCAGATGCCATTCTCCGTGCGCAATATGAGCTCCGGCTTCCGCCGAACTTTGCGCGTTCGGTCCACGCTCAGGCGGAAGCGCAGCAGAGTCAGCGCCACGGCCACGCGCATCTCGGCCATTGCGAAGCTCTGTCCGATGCAGTTCCTGGAGGAAGAACGACCGTGAGTGGGGTCCCTGGAACTGGGTAAATGACCACCCACCCCTCCGAGCCTCGGTTTTCTCATTTGTAAAACAGAACAATGCATCATAGAGCCTCTGGGAGCCTAAGAGCCCAGAACTGAGGGCCTGGCGCACAGTAGTTGCACTGAATACTGAGGGTCGCTATCACAGATCTGATCTGGGGGCGTAGGGGTGCATTGAGGACAGGAAGAGTATGCCAGGTTGGCAGGGAGGACACCTGGGTGGGATGCGGGCTCTGTCCCAGATAGGCACATCCCTGGCTTTCCACTGGCCTGGGTGTCCCTCCTACACTTGGGGAAATAGTAGTTACCTGGGTCCTGCCGAGAAGGGCACGAAGGCCAGCGGCGAGCGCTGCTGTGGCTTGTCCGGGTCAAAGCGGTAGGGATTGTACACCTAAGCAGAAGCAGCCCGGGTGAGTCTGGGGACTCGCCCACCCATATCAGCTTGGCCCCCTCCCTCAGCCTCTGGGGAGCAGCCCAGCTGGACACTGCATTCCAGCCTCACTGCCTCCTTTTGCTATCCAGGCATGCCAGGCTCATTCCCACCCCAGGGCCTTTGCACTTGCTGTTAACTCTGCCTGAAACACACTTGCCCATGCTCTTCACACTTCTCAGGTCTCAGTTCAAACATCTCTTCCTCCACAGATCTTTCCTCACCATGTGAGCTAAAGTACTCCTCTACCCCCACCACCACCCCCTCCATTTTTTATTTCCTGTGTACATTTACCAATATCCCAAATCATCTTATTTTTGCTCTTTTTTCTTTACACTTCACTGTGAGTTCCATGAGGGTAATGACAATATCTTTCTCTGTCCTCAGCACCCAGCACAGGGTCTGGCACACAGTAGGAGCTCAATAATATTTGTGGACTTAATGAATTCGCAGTGAGTGGGGAATCGCTGGGGGAAGGGGGGCGAGGCGCTCAAGTCCTGCATCCAGCCCTGATGTCTGGTTCCCTGGGAAGCAGGGCAGGGGAGGCCTCACTGCCCCAGGACTGCCCCTTCTGAAGAGGACACTGAGGGAGAAGAGGAGCTCACCTTGGAGTCAGGCCACACTGTGGGGTTGTAGTGGGTCCCATAGATGCTGACCAGGCAGATGATTCCTGTAGGGAGGGGTGAGGTCAGTGGGGCAGAGGGGAGTCAGGGAGACCTGCTTTCCTTGGCGCCATGGTGTTCCATGAGCCATCTGCCACCTTCCCTGCCCATCCTTCCCTGGAAAATGCTGCTGCATGCCTCCCTAAGAGGTCTCCATCCCCTTTCTGGCTGCTCCACTGGCCACACAGGGCTCTTTCTCACTCCAACATCTGGCATTTCTTCTCCTAGGCTCAAACCCCTCCCGTGGCTACCTGCTACCCTGAGGATCAAGTTCAAGTGCCTTAATCTGGCATTGAAGGCCTTTCACTATCTTCACTTCCAACCTCCAAGGATCACCTCCCACCTTTCCTCTTCCAAGCAGCCCTCCCTGCATTCTTCCCCAGATAGAGCCATCGATCCTTCTTTTGGGCTGCTCCAGCCCCTCTCCCTCCCTTTAGCCCACCCCCGACCTCATGTGGCTGGGAATGTCTGAGCCCTGCTGTATTCCCCAGCCTGGTCCTGGAGATGAGGCCTCCCTAGATCCCCAGCATCACCCAGGACAGGGCTGGGTCTCCAGGGAATATCTGGAAACTGAATGAAACCAACCTTCCCCTACCTGTACCTAGAGAGGGCCCGCCGTGCCACACCCACTGCTTCCTGTCCATCCATACTCACCCACCTCTATCTCCCCCCTGTCCACTGGGTCTCCCGCATCACCCCAGAAGCAACAGCCACACAGAGAGCCATCCCATCTGCGGGGATGGTGAACCTGGGGTGAGCACGATGAGCCCCGTGAGCAACAGAGCAGCCAGGCAGCAGGGAGCACACAGTAGGCACCTTTGGGGATGATGCGCCCATCCGGGAGCTTGATGTCCTCCGTGCAGCGGCGGGAGACCAGGGTCACGGGTGGGAACTGGCGGAGGCTCTCTTTGATGCACATAGTGGTGAAGGGCAGCAGAGGCAGGTCATCCCTGGGGAGCATGGAATGGGGTGTGGGTGCTCGAGGCCAGGATCTCAGACTTGCCCCAACTTCTAGCACTTGCAGTTGTGCCCTGCACACACCGTTAACCCTGTGGCCGACTCTAAGCAAATCAGAGCAGTGCTAGCGGGCTTCTGCGGGCCCAGCGTTAACCCATTAACAGATGAATTATGGGGAGTCAGGGCCACTGGAGGAGGTGCCCGAAAAGCCAAGGGGGGCCAGGCAGCAGCAGCCATTTACCAGCTTGTGTGGATCAACTTCAGTATTAAGAACCCAGACATCCACCTCCTTTACTATTATTCACTTAATTTTTTTCCTTGGGAATCCAGAGCCCAACATTGGATTGATTATAACTCTTGGTTCATGATCTAGTGGTTTTCTTTACACCAACAGGTTCTCCTTCAAAGAAACTTTATGTTGCTACTTTAAAGGGCAAATGGCATGCCCGGCATAAAAGTGTCATAAACGTAAGCACCACCGGGAAACCAGCAGAGAGTTATTAAGTTCTGGCGAGGCACCATCTCCTGCCCAGTCCTCGGGACCTGGAGCATCGTCTCCCGTTGTTAAAAAGGCAGCTAGTGCCCGGCCAGCGTGGCTCAGTGGTTGAGGGTTGACCTATGAACCAGGAGATCACGGTTCAACTCCCAGTCGGGGCACATGCCCCAGTTTTGGGCTCCGTTCCCAGTAGGGGGTGGTGCAGGAGGCAGACGGTCAATGATTCTCTCATCTATTGATGTTTCTATCTCTCTCTCCCCCTCCCTTCCCCTCTCCGAAATAAATAAAAACATTTAAAAAAAAAAAAAAGCAGTTAGCACCTGGCCAGAGTGGCTCACTTGGTTAAGGGTTGTCCCATGCACTGAAAGGTTACCTGTTCAATTTCTGTTCAGGACACATACCTGGGTTTCAGGTTTGATTCTCAGTCGGGAAGCGTAACGAAGGGAACCGATCAATGTTTCTCTCTTACATTTATGTTCCTCCCTCCCTCTCTCTCTCTCTCTCCCTCCCTCCCTCCCTCCCTCCCTTCCTCTCTCTAAGCATATTCTCAGGTGAGGATTAAAAAAAAAAAAAAGCAGTTAGCAAGGTGTTAAAGATCCAATAGCACCCACCTGAGAGTTTCTCCCTGAGTTCAGAATCTGAAAGGCTGCCACTGAACCACTTTCTCACTGTTCAATGCTATTTAATGCTGTTTTCTTTGCTTCACCCAGAAGCAGCTCTACACAACGCACATATGAAGTCAGTTGGATTATTGTTCCTGATTCTTCACTTTTTCTTGTATTAAAATTATACACCTGTGCCCTGTGCCCTGTGATTTTGCAGTGCCTTCCACTTGGATGGGTGGAATATGAGTCCCAGCCCATTCGTGGTGCGCCTGGCCATGTGACTTGCTTTAGGTAATGGAATGTTGAGATGCAAGCAGAGGTTTTAAGTTGTCTGGCTCTCAGTGATGATGGGACGAGACTTGACTTAGGGTGGTGAACACACAATAAAATATACAGATGCTGTATTCTAGAAGTGTACACCTGAAAGCTATATCATTTTAATAATCAATGTCACCCCAATCACATTTTTTATAGTCGTGTGCCTCTTTGTGCTTCTGAAGTCTACCTTGAGATGGACATGCCCAGAGTAGTTGCTGGTTCAAGGAGCATGAAGAGCTATGTGGAACAGACCTTAGCCCAAACCTCAGTTTGGAAGCAACCCCATTCAACTCAGCATCGCCCAGCAGTACAAACGTCATATGCAGACAAGAGCAAGAAATAAAATAAATGCTTGCCGTAAACTCCTAAGTTTAGAGGCTGTTTGTTATGCAGCATTATTGCAACCATTGCTAGCTAAGACACTCCTAAGTAAGAACTCCTACATTATGAGCTTGGCAGAGACATTGTTGGCATCCTGTTTTACAGTTAAAGAAATTGAAACTAAATTGAATCTTAAGTGACTTTTCACTTAAGATTGAGGTCAGAACGTCAATAAGTGGTAGAGCAGAGCGACTCACACCCAAGGCTCAACCTGTCCCCACCATCCCCATGACCCCCGACTGACCACTCCAGCTCCTCCAGCTCCCGGCCTTTCATGACTTCCTGGATCTCCTCCCGGCACTTCTCCTGGTACTCTGGGTGCTTGGCCAGGTTAAACAGCACCCACGAGAGCCCACTGGACGTTGTGTCGTGACCTGCAGGCAAATGAGGAGCTGGCATGGAGGCTTCCTGGAGATAGCAGAGATGCTATCTTCAGGAAATGGGGACCCCCTCCATCCTCCCCCAGCCTTGCGCCATGTCTTCACCCTCAAACATGAATGTGTCCGCCTCAGCTCGGATGTCCTCATCTGTCAGTCCCTTTCCATCTTCATCCTGGAATGGGCAGCAGACAAGGGTCAGCCCACTTCACCCCGCCTTCTGCGTGCTAGGGGCTCCTCCAAAGTCATACATGCTCCCCTCTCTCTTAAGCCAAGCTTCAGGAGAAAGGATTCCCAGAAGATGGAAGTATGCAACTTGTCTAAGAAAGATGAAAAGAGCCTAACCAGTTTGGCTCAGTGGATAGAGCATCGGCCTGCGGACTGAAGGATCCTGGGTTTGATTCTGGTCAAGGGCACATGCCCAGGTTTCGGGCTCGATCCCCAGTGGGGGGCATGCAGGAGGCAGCCGACCAGTGATTCTTTTTCATCATTGATGTTTCTATCTCTTTCTCCCTCTCCCTTCCTCTCTGAAATCAATAAAAATATATTTTTTTAAAAAAGAGAGATTCGAACACAGACGTGAACAGATGGCAGACCACGTGAACATACAGGAGAAGACAGCCATCTACAAGCCAAGGAGAGAGGCCTCAGAAGAAGTCAACCCTGCCGACAACTTGATTTCAGACTTCTTATCTCCAAAGTGGAGGAGGTGAATTTCTGTTGTTTAAGCGACCTAGTGTACGGCACTTTGTTACAGCAGCCCTAGCAAACGAACATAGTAGGTCTTACATGTTTTGCATCTGCCTGCATCCTATGCCTAAGTTAGTTTGGGCGTTTATTATTTTAGGCAGTTCCTGCAACTCCTGAGGAGGCCATCCTGGGCAGGGCCCAGCCTCACCTTGGCCAGGAGCAGCACATCGATGAAATCCAAGGTCTTGCCCTGCTTGGACTTGAGCCAGGCCTCGGCCCCCTGCTGGCGCAGCGCCAGCCGCCGCTCCTGGATGACCTCGGTGGTGAAGCTGTGCACGGTGTCACAGGCCTGACGGAAGCGCCGCCCGTCTGCTGTGCGGTAGTAGATGAAGTCGATGTAGTGGTGCAGGCGATATTGGCGTCGGACCGACAGCGCACTCAGCTCAATGATGGCTGAGATGTAATCGCTCATCTTCCTGCCGGGGAGAAGGGCCATCAGTGTAGAGCCAAGCTTCCTCTCCCAGTGGGTAAGTGACAAAGAGAGGCCCTGGCCCTAGCCGATTTGGCTCAGTGGATAGAGCGTCGGCCTGCGGACTGAAGGGTCCCGGGTTCAATTCCTGTCAAGGGCACATGCCTGGGCTTGATTCCCAATATGGGGTGTGCAGAAGGCAGCCAATCAATGATTCTCTCTTATCATTGATGTTTCTATCGCTCTCTCTCCCTCTTCCTTCCTCTCTGAAATCAATAAAAATATATATATATTTTTTTAAAGAGAGAGGCCCTGGATTAGCTATATTTTCTTGTATTCCTGATGGTCTACCATCTGGGACCTCCCTGGCTAGAGACACTGCCCCCCCCCCCCCACTAGCCTATTCTTAGAGACTCACCCAAGAGCATGCCTTTCTTTGGGAAACCAACCAATCCATAGCCCCTACTCCAACCCTTATCAGGCTGAACCCCTACCCCCCTGCCTTAATCACCAAGTACTGGACAGCTAGGGGCACCCTTTTGCTCCAGAAGGGTAACAATATTTGCTGAAATATTCCAAACTAGCCAATCCTAAGCCTGCATGCCCCGCATTTCCCACTTATTCCTAGAAACACCCCCAAAAGGCTTTTGCCTTGCTTTCTCCTAGTGCTTCTCCATGTGGCCCGGTGTCGTGTGGCATTTCCCCTCCTCTTGGGAACCTCATGGCAATCATTTTCTGAACTGTTGGGACTCACCATACCTGGATAAAACTACAATCTGGGTGCATTTTAAAACAGGCCCAAAGAGGGATGAGGAATTCCAAACTTATGTGACATCACTGAAATTAAACTGCCACAACCCATAGAGTGGGAGAAAATATTTGCAAATCATGTAGCTGATGAGGACCTTGTATCTACACTACTTAAAGAACTCTTAACACTCAATAATAAAAAAGACATACCCCAATTTAAAAATGGGCAAAGGATATGAATACACATTTCTCCAGAGAAGATATGAAAATGCCCAACAAGCACATGATAAGATATTCAACATAATTAGCCAAATGTAAATCAAAATCGCAATGAGATACCACTTTACCCTGACTAGGATGGCTATAAAAAAAAAAAAACAACAACACAGATAATCACAAGTATTGGTGATAATATGGAGAAATTAGAGCCCTCAGATACTACTGGTGGGATCCTAAAGTGATCATAAAAACCACGTTAGCGGCCCGAACCAATATGCTCAATTAATATTTGACAAAGGAGGCAAGAACATACAATGGAGCCAAGATAGTCTCTTCAATAAATGGTGTTGGGAAAATTGGACAGATATATGCAAGAAAATGAAACTAGACCACCAACTTACACCATACACAAAAATAAACTCAAAATGGATAAAGGACTTAAATGTACGACAGGAAACCATAAAAATTCTAGAAGAATCCAAAGGCAACAAAATCTCAGACATATGCCAAAGCAATTTCTTCACTGATACAGCTCCTAGGGCACTTAAAACATGATGGTGAGTAAAAGAAACCAGGAACAAAAGTCTGTATGATTCCACCTATGAAATTTCCATAGTAGACGACTCTGTAGACACAGAAGGAAGATTAGTGATTGCCTAGATCTGGAGGAGAAGTGGGTTCTGGGAGGTGAGTGCTCACTTGTGTAGGGGCAGTTTGAATCACAGTGTGATGGATAGTAGACGACTCTGTAGACACAGAAGGAAGATTAGTGATTGCCTAGATCTGGAGGAGAAGTGGGTTCTGGGAGGTGAGTGCTCACATGTGTAGGGGCAGTTTGAATCACAGTGTGATGGTGTAAGCCAGTGGTCGGCAAACTTCGGCTCACGAGCCACATGCGGCTCTTTGGCCCCTTGAGTGTGGCTCTTCCACAAAATACCGACCACTGCGCATGGGCCACGAAGTTTCAACGCACTGTAC